AATTTTGAATATTCTTAAATGATAAGATTTTATAAGTAATATTAAATAACAACCTCAAATATTAGTATTAATATAATCAAGTGCTTTGTTAATGCCAACTATTTTTTATAACTTTGCATTAAATTTTCCCAATATTCTGTCGATAATCCATTTAACAAGCTTGTTAAAAACATTTATTTCATAAAATAATTCATGAAAAATTCAACAAAATAGAATTAATATTTGCATGGTACACGCGTGATGACGTTTTCAGATATTGATTATAATTCTCTCAATAGTCGTACAAATTACGACCTTGCATTTCAGTGAAAATGAGTAATAATCGGAATACACATACATGCACAATGATGATCGGATTAATGAGATATGGTCAGCTTATATTAAAATTTTTTAAACAAAATACTACGCGTGCTGTCAACTAGCTCAATAAATTTTTCAAATCTATTTTTATCCGCGCAAAGCGCGATATAACTACTGAAGAGTCAAGAATTTAATTTAATTAAATTTATTCTTCGTAATCTATTCTTCTTTAATTTGATAATTCTTATTTACATAATTCCTTTTTAATATCAAGGTTCCTTGCGATTCGAGTGTACAAAAGATTAATAATATTTAGGCATAAAATAAATCGAAATAATTATTGAAAAAGAAAAACACACATAGCGACAGTTGGAGTTAATAAATATGCATACGAAAACGCACAACGCTAGAGAATCGAGATGCATGAGGAAGAATAGGGTGTATTTGCGCAAAGTTTAAGGAGTGGCGCTCGCACAGTGGACTGGTTTTGCGGGTAGCAAAATTAGAATGTGTCCCGGTTATTACGGGCGGCCGCGAAGAATTAGCATATAGTAGCGGGCGCGTATACGTGGTCAGACGTGTTGCGCGACACAAGAAGAAGGCTTTCGCGCTAATCTCCGGTGTGGCACTAAATGAGGTGGTGGATTTGTTGGAAAGAGCTTATACTTACCGGGGACACGCGCGGGAAATATGGCCGGGAGAGAGAGTAGGCGGCGAATGTGTGGCTTCTGCTCGTGAAACTCCAAAGCTCGTATCCACACGTGGACTAACAACAATGGGATGATCCTGCCGGGATTACGCGATCCGACACGAGGGAAAGGCCTGTAGAAGTATCGTTGTTACTGCTTTTCCAGTGTTACGATACCCCAGCGCGTGGTTTAACAATCGTGCGTCTAGCGAGACGTTTCGGTGGCGATCGCGTTGGAAAGCTCGCAAGTTGTTTGTATTTCGAGCATTAAGGATCTCTGCTTACGAAAATTTGAATAAGTGCTCCGAAGTCGATCCGACGCAAAGCAAAATGCAAGCAGCGTTAACACGAGATATTTATTCGATAATAATCAAGAATGGAATCAATTATCCATAAAGAATTTATCAATTTTGCCTGATATTTTCGTTACATATTCATTTTTATTTCATGTTTGCATTACAAAAAACTGAAATCAGTTAATAATATATATTTAGAATATGTAATTAAAGTAGACTCATATTTGTACATGAATGAAATAGTGATCACTTTTTTCAGTTTTTAAACATTACTCTTGATATAAGCGCGGATTGCACTTTATATATATAAATCTATTCCAACTTTTAAATAAAGATAAGAAACGCAAGTTCTAGTACATCAACGCGATCTTGTTTTACACGTCGCGATCACGTCAGTAAAACAGTTAGTCGAACGAACCGTTACGAAACGTTTCCGCGATTTCGAGGTGAAGCCGCACGCATGACCGAGCGGCTGGCTGGTGGAGGCGCCGGGCGATTTAGTAGTCGACGTTATACCGGTAATAGATACAGAGGGAGACAGAGGCGGAGAAGGACGGGAGGGTAGAACAGAGAGAACGGAGCCGAGCGTGGAGGTAGGTACACAGAGAGAGAGAGAGAGAGAGAGAGAGAGAGCCGGGTGGTGACGTTGACTAATGATGGTGGTGAGAGAACACACTCCAGTCTAACCCGACCTGTTGCACCCCCAATAAACCCCGTCAAACGACGTGCCGCTAAATAGAATCGCGCCGCGTCTTTCGACCCCTTGACTGATTCACCCTGACATTCCGGAACGCGGATCCGAAACTAGAGCAGAGAGTCTGCAAAGATACTCTCGCAGGCTGATTAAAATTTCGCTCGCGTCCTATACCTGACATCGAATTCACATTATGAGGGTACGGGAAACTTTCTTGAACGCCTACTCGGATGTATTCCGCACTCCTTTAACAGCCATTTATTGGAGAAATGTGAACAAAAAATATTCTCAACAAATAAATTTAAATGAAGAATAAGCCATATATTTTTCATTTGTATCTGCCTAATCGAAAAATTTAGATTTTGTGTATAATTTATTCGTTATAATATATCTGTAATTTTTAATGCATAAATAACTTTCGTTATTTGTGAGTAATATAAAAGTGTTCAAGTAGAGAGAAAAACCACAAAATAAAACTTTAAAATTGAAAAGAAATTCTACAATTAAGTCGCGATCAAAATGGTATATAAAAAAAAGACAAAGTTCATTAAGCTGTTATTTATAAAGATTTCTCTCGACACGATAATTTTAAAGATTAATTTTCCAAACGATTGTCGATTGAAACAACTGTCACTTTATCCTTCGATAACTGTCATTCATATGTATAGACATCCGATATGATACTGGAACACTCTACGCACTCTTGTCATGTGCTTTCTTTCACACGACGGGCAACAGGACTGATGGCTTTTCGAGCAGCTGTACGCTCATGGCATTCTTGATTCACGGCAAATGCCGTGATAACCTCTCCGGCATCCTCGATTCCCTTTTACTTCCTGGAAAAGCTGGGGGGACAGGGCAGACGCGACGAATGCTCGTCGCAAGACGAGCGAACGCGGTGACGTGGAAAATTGTCCGATTATTCGCGGTTAGATAAAGAGCTTCTTCGGGGGTGGCAGGAAACTTGCGAGAGGGGCAAAGGGGTGATAGGAGGGAACGGCGGCGTCGGACTGGCTCGTGACACCGGGAGTGGCGGTCGCAGTCGGTGCTAGAAGGTCGTATCGGATGAAAAGCCGAGCCGACGGACTCTCATTCTCGAAGGACGGGCCTGGACGCACCCTCGAGCACCCTCCAACGCGGATTCAATCCCGGAGATCCACGAAATAATCATCCAGCGCTAGTTCATCCCTTCGCTTGCAGAAATCTCTTGCGGATGGTTCCGTCCAGAACGTCTGGCCAGAACGAGACGTCTGTCGCTCTTTCTTCCCTTTCTTCTCCACTACATCCTCTCTCTCTCTCTCTCTCTCTCTCTTCCTCTTCTTCGCTCGCCTTTCTCTTATTATCCGCGTAGGACTCGTCAATTCTGAGATAAAACGGCGATATCGAGCGCACAGATCGCATTGTCGGCTCCGTCCTGAATCTTGCGCGAAGGACACGGCTCTTCATCCTCGTTATCGCATATACGAATCTTCCTCCTACGTCAAGATTCTTTAATTTCTGATTTTGCCGCAAACATTAATCGATCGTTAATTGTACATATATATATATAATTGGGAAATTAGAAGCAAATGTTAATTGGTTGGTTCATTATTAACAATATGAACTCACTGACTTCCCAAAAAGACATTTTGACCCGATTCATACCTAAACAATTAATTACGCGAAATATAATTGCGCTTACATAAACGTTGAATATAACGCACGCACAACAATCTAATTAACTCTAATCTAATTAAAATCCGCGCCGTTAGAATTCCACCTCACTGATGCCGAAAATTGCCAATGAGAAAGACATCCCAAAGGGAGTCAAAGGGAACGTTCGCAAACACACACGTTCAATATTACTATCGCGGGCTATCGAATCGTCCGAATCCAAATAACGTCGATAAATATTCCTCGCCTCCCTCTCTCTTTCTCTCTCTCTCTCTCTCGATCACTTCGATACTCCCCGAACGTCATTTCCTCGAATCGTATTCAAAAAGAGAGAAGGGCCGATCTAGATACGAGAAACGTAAAGGGAATACCGGAGTCACCCTGGAGATTCTTTCGCTCGCGCAGTTCTTAAAAAGGCCGTGCGCGCCTGGTCCCTGCACGAGGCATCCCTCCGCCTGTGCTTTTCTCCGCGGATTTTCGCGAGAGGCCACCGCGTGTTCGATTCTACGAGCGCCGAGGGAGAGCGGCGTGACGGTACGCGATGCGCATTTCGAATCGCCACGACGACGGTACGCGACGCACCTCGCCTCGCCTCGCTTCGCCTCTCGCCTAGTCGTACTCGGCTTCATGTACTTACTTGCCAGGTACGTGTACTACCTTGTTTACCACGCGGTCTTACACACCCTCCTTGCCGCATGGCGCCATTGTTCTGAAAATCAAGAAATGTGTCACCGGCAGCGAGGGTAAAAAGCTCGGGAGCCCGGAGTCGTCGTGGCGTTGTCAGGCCCAGAAGAACGTTACTCTCCTTTCTTCCTCCTCTCTCCTCACTCACTTACTCACTCGTTCTCTCTCTCTCTCTCATCCGTTCTCGCGCACCCGACCGAAGGAGCCAACCCGTGCCCGGTTAACGTTTGAACGGTAAATTATCTTGAGGACTTAAGCCCGCGTTAGTCTAATACCGAGATCCCGGAGACTCGTCCTCCATGGAATCTTAATTCCGCACCGCGCTCCCTCGACCGCACATCGCAATATTATCCGCGCCCTACTTGATCTTGCGGCCCATTTTCATGCGTCTATACATTTGCCCGCAAAGATCTCGTAGCATCAATGTTCATCAGAAATCTTATTGTGACGAAAAGAAACGGAGAAAGTGGGAGAAAAGTTTAAACACGAAGATGTGTATAACCGAGTGTGTAATATAATTTTGTAGCCTTCAAGGTTGTGTATTTGTTAATAAGTAGTATTTATTTCCAAAATGATGTGATTAATAATTAAATAAATTATGCACGATCTAAATCCTTGTGTTTTTTTATTATAAACTAAATTCTTTTATGTCAATAAATACAATAAAAATTAGTTTCAGACTCACCGATGATGAGCAACAGTGAAGTTGTAATATGCAGCATTTTGACCTGTAAAATATAAATATTTCAAATTGTAAAACAGTGTCTAAAATAATATTTAAGCAATAGTAAAATATTATCTATGATACATATATAATTATAAATATTTAAAAAATATAATCTAAAATATTTTATATGCATCTTATATATGTACAATAATGAAAGATGGATTATTATCGTGGAGATAAAAATGCGTATACGCACTTACATATACATATGTATATATAAATACACACACAATTATTTTAACAAATAATAAGTTATAAATTTCGAACCTCGTAGTTTACTCCGCTGTTACCCAACGTCTCTCCGGACCTGTTCTTCCTCTCTTGTTCGTCTGTTGCTGCTGTTTCGTAGCATTCACACGATACTCACTCACGAAAACGCTGTTAATTACAATTTCGGGCGCACTAATTACAAGAACGCAGCGATTACAAGAACAACGTGACACTTTACACGACACTCGATGTTAACCGTACATGACGCGCACTTATTCAAATCGCGACACAAAGATAATACCGAATAAGTGTAATAAAGGCAAAAACTATATTATAATACGAAACTACGATACGCACTTTGACAGATCTTGTACGATACTACAACATGTAATAAAATACATTCAACAATGTGACAAGGTCGCGTTAACAATAGTGCGAGCTAATGCTCTTCAAAATTCATTCCTACCACCGCACCGTACAAAAAGCGCCAAATTTTGTGACGTGTTGTTATTGACACGTGATTACTTTGCGATCATTCGCATGATTCGAACGAGCAAGTAGTGAACGCGTGTGTATTTTCGAAATATATGTAGATCTAAGTCGTCTAAGTGCGATTAATTTTCGTATTATTCTCTCATCGCGATATAAAATGTGCATTTTGTGAGATTCGCGTCAATTGTGCAAAGCGTCTTAAGCACAATCGATTGATCGCGATTATTGTAATTTTTGCATTATTTTTCTGTCGAACTATATAAAAAGTTCGTGTAGTATTTTTTCGTTACAATATATGTAAAGTGCGCGTCGTGTACAATTTAAAGTCGCGTAAGTTGTCGCACGATTGTCATATTTTGGTAATTAGTGCGCGCGTGACGTTAACAGTATTTTCATGCGAGTACTACAAAAGAGTGGCAAAGAGAATGAACGAGAGAGAAGAAGCACATTCGGGGAGGCAACAGTAGGTGAGCAAATTATAATTTACTTTATTATTTATTATTTGTAAAATTAATCGCTTGTTTATTTTCGCGATAGTAATTTATTTTGTTTCTGTCTTGGCGTATATTTAGAATATAAAATATTCCATGCAAGATTATGTAAAAGATATAATTAATTAGATTATTTTCATAAAAATAATCTGATTAATTATATAATATTGAGAATTATGTTTCTTTAACACATGTTTTATTATTATAGTTTATATTTTTATGCCCTAGCGGTATATTTATATTTTTGCAGATTAACTTGTGCAACTATCACTCCGGCGCTGCACATTTGGTGAGTGCTTATTTTTTATTTTAATCTCGAAACAATAAGATTTGTAAAAATATTATATATACATATGCATATTTATTTGTTTATAATTTAGCGACTTCTCCAAGCCTATTTAGTACATTATACATTAACAAATTTTAAAATTTTGCTTCAAGAACGTTCGAGTTGCTTCGGTGAAAATAATTTTATTGTCCACTAAAAGTGCGATAAGCTTCACGTTGTCGTCATTCGCGCCGCAAAACCGCTCCGACGAAAAGGTGCAGACGGTTATACGATAAGAGGCCGCTTCTTCAACGGATAGGAAATCCGTGCCTTCGTTACATACTTATATGTATATGTATATACAGAAGATGGGAGATTCGCGCTAGCGCATACCATTATAGGTAGAATGCTGCTAGCAGGTTAGTCGTTATTAGTCGAAATGCTAGCTAGAGGTGGTTAAAGCAGGCGATTCGTATGCCAGTCGGTCCTTCCATCTCGCGAAATCGCGCGTTTCTGTCAGTCACAATGGCCGGGCGAGATTGCTCCCCCGAGAGAGCACGATGCCGCCTAATCAGAAATTAAATCTTAACCTTAATTCCTTCTGAAACGGGCGAGCTCATGCTAAAAGAATTCTCGATCGATCTCGTCCGGAACCACGAGGATCGCGGAACGGTTTTTCTCTCTTCTCTCGAAATTTTTCCGCGCAAACCTAAGACACTTTGCGACTTTGAATTCTCACCAAATGAAAATACGGAAAGAAATGCTTATAACGATAATAGTTATCAGCGCAATAAATCTACGAACGTTTTAATTTTTTAAATTAATGCTATCTAAATATTGATTATAATCCTGACTTTATATTTTTTACTTTAATTCCTAATTTTTAGTGCAACTTGGCACAATATTATTTTTTATAATTCACATATCTTTAAGGCGCTTAAGAAGTTATTAAAATTTGAAAGGAATCTTTTCTAAATTCATACACGATAAATAGTATTGTGTATTTTTTGCATGATTTTCGACTCGAACGCAAAACAATAAAAGCGATGAGAATCAATAACAGAATCCAACTATCGATGCTATCGAGTAACTCGCACATACCATTGAAGCTTAATAAAATTCCTGATTATTTCCCTTCTCCAAAGATCCTTTAAGTATCGAACAAAGGTTAACATTCCAAAATCTGTTTTCGTATGGTCGGCGATGTTTCGAACGTACGACCGCTGGTTGATTTCGCGAAACTCGCTCAAGTTATTGGTAATCCGCGCAAGAGGATTCACATTCGATTTTATTTCACAGTTTCCTTTATGCGAAAGACGTAGGATTTCTATTAGCTTTGTGCCCCGGTTAGATTGAATAGCCGCAGGCTTCCACGGGCATACGTTCGCGACTGTTTCATTTACAAATGTATTTCCCTCTCAGACGAAACTTTCAATTTAGCCGGATGCTTCCTGCGATGGCAGGGAATGCGTAAGCGGGGGCCCTTCCATACACGCGATTCGTCTGCTTAGAAGGTACAGAAGCCCTTTCCCCTTTCCACGGAAACAAATCGAAACGACAGACGAATTGCTTTCCGCGATCAGCCGTCTCGCGTTTTGCATTTCGACTACGAATAGATTCATTTGCGGTCAGGCAATAATCGTGTTCAAGAATGCATGCGTATACGAAATACTTTGACGCGGAAAATTTTATCGGCTTGTTTTGTGAATATTTTTACCATCATCAAAGTAATAATTATATATTATAATATTTATTAATTTATTAATTGTCACGTGTTATCCTATATTCATCGTGATTAATAAATTACATCTTCAAAACTACACAACTTGATAAACTTTTGCCACATATACAAACGCAGTTTCAGATTTTCCTCGTATAAGAATAACGGCTTTAGAGCAAACCGTGCATTAAAGATACGCGATGAATCGAAGGGACAAAGTTTATGAATGCATACTCGAGGCAAGTTCGCGATCTGATTCATCCAATGTACGCCTTCCGAGAGACGCCGCGAAAAAAGTTGGTCGGACGATGTCGGGGGAGAGTTTTACGAGAGACTCCGGCGCCGAGTTCCGTTGAAAACTACGTGGCAAGTCCGTCAATTATGAAGCGACCTTTAATAATGAAAGCAACGGAAGGAGTTCCCTCGGGCGGCATCACCATCTTTCATGCTTACTGCTTAACAGCCGAGCGTCTGCAGGCACCGTTTTGCCTACCGCGGTACCAACCCCATCCCTTATGCCCTATTTGCCCTCTTCTCGTCTCTACACCTTTTCGGACACTTTCACATCGACCCTTTCTTTGCATTAACCCATTCCTGTCTCGCTATCGCATCTTTGTACAAAAAAAAGAAAGAAAGAAAATGTTGGAATCGGAAAACAAAAATCCAACTACGGAATTTCCTAAAGAAAGATAATTGCTGAATAATAACATAAAATAATAAACCAGCATAAATATAGAAATTTTTGTGAATTAAAAACAACAAAACTGTATATTCTTATCGCAAAAATTGTTCAGTATACAGCAAGAACGATCATAATAATACATTATCTCGTACATGGCAGATTTTTATTTAAATACTCGTACAACGTAGAGATTTTTTGATAACGTTCGATGTGCTGCTTGCGAAACTCTCTACAATTTCTTTGCCGCCAGAGACGAGCTCTCCCTTTCGTGAAAAATGAAAATCAAGCGCGTCGGGAAAATATTCGCAAATATACACGGATGCCGCGCGGGATGGTCGACACGGACCTTTTTTCCGGCTGCCTGTTTTCGTAAATCCTCGTTTAATGTTCTCCTCAGCTCGCGACGACACTCGAAACAGTCACGTGGAATGCGTGGCTTCTCGCGACGTCATTATGAAGTAAACTCGAGCAACCATCCCGGCGACCGAAAAATTTGCCACGCGTAAAAAGAGAAAAGTCATACAATATTTATAGCGAGCAATATCAAACGCTGCTTACTATAAATTTCTCATTTAAAATTAGAGTTATTGTTTTCATTATTTTTTTACTTTGCTCGTCGTTTGTAGAATTATTGTGTAATATATTTTCTAAAAAGAATACCTATTAAACTTTCAATATTAAAAAAAAAAAAAAAAAAATAGTTTGCATTATTCGCATTATATAATATTATATTATAGATGAAAATATCGTTATTATCGTCCAAAGTATTTAATATAAAAAAGTGTTTAGAAATAGTACAGCTTTAGACTTAAATCGAGGTACATGCGAAATCTTGAAATTCAAATAGCCGAAAGTAAAGTCCCTCGAATGCGTTCGTTTTCCTTTCACGCGGGAACGCCCAATATCCCTCGACGAGTATATAAACGTAGGGGGAGAGGAAGCCGCGGGACGTTTAATTATTTGCGCTATCACGCCAAAGACGGACGATAATCAGATATCGGCAGGGAGCGTCGCGCGCGAATAACTCCGCTTGCGCGCAAACTCATCCCGAGCCATGGGTGCCATCCCCTCGCAGTCGCTCCGCTGGCTCGGCACATATATATATATATATATATATATATATATATATCAAGTCAATAATTAACACCAGTTACAACTTGTGGGAATAGTAACGGCGTTTATGCTCCCGGGGACGTCGTATTTCAGGGAAATGTGCTCGTGCCGTCGTGCTGTACCGGTCCGTAGGAGCACCACGAGGATTTGTCGCTTAGCGGAGGAGGTGGGTGGCAGAAGGGGGTGCGAGTTCGAGGCGTCGGTGGTTGTTCGGAGAGAGGCAGTGGGTTCTCTCTTTCTCGCGCCCTCTCTCTCTCTCGTTCTCGCGATGCAGCGAAACGGGACGGGATGGAACGGGCGGAGAGGAGTAAGGTGGCGCGAAACGCTTCTGCCACGGTTAGGTCGCCGGTACCAGATGAACAGATACGGAATATGGGTGGTGGAAATATAGATTTAGGCTAGAGGCGACCGCCGCCAATGTTCTCTCCCCTCGCTCGCTTTCTCTCTCTCTCTCACTCTCGACCTCCGCTCGTACGTTCTCCATTTATACATGCGAGAAACTCACATACGTCGGTGTGTGTGTGTGTGCGTGCGTACAGATAGCGAATCCGCGGTTCCGACCGCCTAAGTCCTCAGGTTTACGGCGATTACGGATTCACAGGCGATCTTACAACCCCGCGCACGACTCGACGTTGGTTGTTCGTATGTTTGGCTTGAGTTTCGGGTTTGCGCGCCGCGCCACGGTTTCCACGAGGAAGAGAAGGCAAGTGGGAGAGGTGGCAGGAGGTGATTTACTGCCGGCTTACGGGGGTGTGAGACGACGCCACGACGCTAGATCGCCTATGAACGGGTTAATGGAGCGAGCGGGCCACGCCACCCAACGAGCACGGCTAACGAAGAGAGAGAGAGAGAGAGAGAGAGAGAGCCTTCTCTCCTTCGACCCCGTCTTCTCTCGGTTAACTCGCACCCTCGCGCACCGCCGACGGCCGCTCCTAATCACTAATGATAACAATATTACCGGCGAAAACCGAGCTAAGACCGAGCCGGTACGTCAGAGGCTGATTTAGTGCGACCCTTAGGAACACCGCGCGATCGCGCTCCGAGCCGCGACTTAATCGCGCGTCGCACACCGTCGTTAATCGACTGAGTTTATCGCTGCGGTTAGCGTCTGTTAACCCGTTAGCTCTTGCAATCGTCATTAAGGAGACTGTACGTTTGACAAAAAATCGATTGCCTTTGTTCGAAAGAGTTTCGATATTCATTTATAAAGAGTGAACAATGTTCCGCGTGCAAAGTTGCAATTTAACGCCAACACGCGCATAATCGTTTTAATGACGTTTCATTAAGAAAAATCGAGCTTGGAAGGAAATTGGTGTGCAAACTATACATATTTAATTTTAATTCAAAAATCTTGAAAAAACGTTTAAGAGGTGTCAAAATATATACACACTGTCAGTTTCTGTCTCCCGAAATAGATTAATACGTAATAAATATGAATTGTTACCTATATAAAAAAAGTGCGCGGAATTTGTTGTATTGTTGCAGAAAATAGAAAGCTTAACTCTT